ATACTTAAGTTCATTTGATTCTTTTTAAAAAATTCCATGATGGAGCGGTATAATTTTTTGTATGTTTTTTTTTACTGTGGCTCCTAACTATCATTTCTTGATGTTTTCAGTTTTAGAAGCTTCTCATATCTCTGCCAGTGTTGGAGAATATCATTCGACAGGTTAATTTGAATGCCAAAGATTGTCATAATTTAATATTACCAAGGAGAAATGAATATTCACTTTTCCAAAAATACAGAAGGAAATGATTTACTCTTGGAGAACTTTAAAAATTATACACATGAATATTTTACATGTAATGTCATTTCTATGAATCATAGCTGAATATAATACTGTAAATTTATGGACTAGGGTTGAAAATTTTGGGAGTTTTGGCAATATGCATTTTTTCCCATCCTCCTGGCCCACGAATCTGAGCCTCTCACCTTACTCCCAAGCAGAGATTTAATAATAGAGATGAAGTAAGTTCTCATGTTACTAAAACTTCATTAATTTGATAAATGTAGTATATATGTTCACCTACTACATTATGCAAATAAGCCACAAAGCAATTTTAAATTAAGCCACACTTAAAGTAACTTAGCCAAGTACTGTTCATGAACAGGAAGCCCCAGTGTTCGACATTTTTCCTTTTTTTAGCACTAGGGATTGAACTCAGAGCCCGTACGTTCTGGGCTAGCGCTCTACCACTGAGCTACACCCCAGCCTTCTAAAATATTTATGTATATATATTTATTTTTGAGACAGGGCCTTGCCTAGTTGCCCAGGCTGGCCTTGAACTTGTGATCCTCCTGCTTCAGCCTCCCACGTAGCTGGGATTACAGGTGTGCGCCACCGTGCCCGGCTCGAGCCACCATTAGAGACCAGGTTCTCCCCTTTTCCTCTCAGCTGCCACCTCCTTTCTTAATTCTCTCACATCTGAAACTACAACAAAACCTCTAGGAAGCGAATTTCTCTCACCTCTCTGTATGGGAAACGTGGGGAGTGGAGAGGGGGTGGGGCGGGGGCAGATTTGGCTGATTCAAAGCCAGGCCTCTGTTATTATAGCACTCTGCCTCCGTGGAGCGGGTAAACAAACAGCAATCTAGTGCTCGCCACGCAGAGAGAACAGCTGGAGAGCAATATGATAATGCGTCTGAACAGCGCAGTGAAACGCTGGAGATCTGGTGTAAGTGGTGCCACTCTCGAGATTTTATCCCAGGGATGTAATTCAACAAGATGAAGTGAAATGTGGACTGCGGCTTAGGAGGGAACGGGAGACCGAATATTCTGAAGAAACTGTCCCACTCCAAAAACCATAGAAATCCTAGAGAAAATGAAAAACATCTCTTACAAGACATGGCTGATCGTGTTAGGAGGAAAATCCTTGGGAGTGAAAAGTGCAAGGGAGCTAGAAATGAGCCCAGAGCAGTTTGTCAACGCCGGGGACCTGACGTTTCAGGTTTCATGCCCTCCTGTGTCTGCAAAGCAAGATCTCGCGCTTAGGGAAAGCAGGGATTGGAATGGAGACCTCTGCGTAAAGTCAGACTCTCACAGGATAGCACGCCTGTAATCCCAGCACTCAGGAGGCTGAGGCAGGAGGCTCACTCAGCTTGGGCTACACAGTGAGCTCAAGGCCAGCCTGAACTACAGTGAGATCCTGTCTTACAAAATGAAAGAATCTGAGTGCCTGTAATCCCAGCACTTGGGAGGCTGAGGCAGGAGGATCGCCATGAGTTCAAGGCCAGCCTGGGCTATACAGCGAGTTCCAGGCCAGCCTGAAATACATGCTGAGAACCTGTCTCAAAGAAAAAAAAAAAAAAAAAAAAGAAAGAAAGAAAGAAAGAAAAGAAAGGATAGTAAGGGCAAAAGAAAGGAGGGCTGGTGTATATAGCTCAGTGGTAGAGCACTTGCCTAGTGTCCAGGCCCGGGAGTTCAATCCCAGAAAGAGAGATCTAGAAGCTGTGTGGGAGAGCCAATGTCTTCAGAACATGAAATACAAAGAGAAAGTCTTAAAGGTTGTCATGGAGAAGAGAGAGATCATCTAAAAGCAATTAGATGCAGCAGCCAAAGACGGTGCAACAATAGCTTCAGATTGCTGAGAGAAAACCACTGTCAATGTAGAATTCGATACCTACCTAAGTTATGTATTTAAGAAAAAGGATGAAATGAGGACATGTTCAGAAAACCAAAAACTGAGAGTTATCAGCAACAGATGCTCAGTAAAGAAGCGTCTAAGAGTATACAGCAGGATAAAGAAAAATGATCCCAGAAGAAAAGTCTGAGGTTTTAAAAACAATAATCGTGTCCCGTTTGGAAGTTAAAAACAAGATAATCAGTCAGGTGTGGTGGCACTTGTCTGTAACCCCAGCACTGGGGAGGCTGAGGAAGGAGGAGGTCAGCGGGGGCTACATAGCACGTTCAAGGCCAGCCTGAAATACATAGTGAGACCCTGTCTCAGAAAAAAAGGTCCCACCCAACCAAAACAAAATAGTGCTACAATACCAGCTGTAAGAGTAACTTGTAACACAAGAGGACGGTGATTAGCATTCAAATTTTGGGAGGGTTAGACTTTAAGTACATATGCTAAAGTTTTAAAGTAATCATTAAGGATAGAAATAGAGCATATAACTTCCAAAACAGTAAGGGGAAAAAAGCAGGATCAAAAGAATAGTCTGAAAGAAAACAGGAAAGGAGGAGAAAATGCATGGCACCAAATAAAATAGTAGAAATAATTCCAAATATATCAGCACTTAAGCAAAATCACAATAAAGAGTAAATGGACTAAACTCATTAGTTCAAAGAAAGTTATCTTCAAGTTGGATTTTTTTTTTTTTTTTCTTTTCAGACAGGGTCTCGCTATGCAGTTCAGGCCGGCCTTGAGCTCACTTTGTAGCCCAGGCTGGTCTCGAACTCGCAGCGATCCTCCTGCCTCAGCCTCCCGAGTGCTGGGGCAAGTTGATTTCTTGCTCTCATCACAGTCCATCCGTTACTGCTGCTCTGGCTAGCCATCTCTCCTCGGTCATCGCATAGGATCCGGGAGCCTGTAATCCTCCTACTAACACCTTGGAATCCTCCACCTCTGTCCATGTGACAGGAGCTGGGGAGAAAGGAGGAGACCCGATGTACTCAGGTACATTGCCTAAAAGTGTACCCATTACTGTGGCCCACACTCCTCTGGCCAGAACTCAGTTCCCACGGTCCCAACCAAGAGAACGGCAAAATAAGCTAGGAGATGTAGTCCTGCGTTCCCGGAAGAGGAAAGGGAATCAGGGAGCCTTTGGGGGATGCTCCCCATCCAAACTGTAGCACAGAATTAGGAGAAACCGAGAAGTCCACCGCCAGGGTAGGACATATGTAACACAGACTGTTCTCACTAACTGATGTCGTGGACCAAAAATGAGTAGCATAGAGGGAACATAGAGAATACAATGACCAAGCTTGATCCGAAGGCCATCGAGAGGACTTTTTGGCCAACCATAGAGAACGTGCATTTTTCTGAAGAGTGCAAGAAACATTCATGAAAACTGACCATGTACCTGGCTGTAAAGAAAATCTCCACAGATATTCCAGAATCAGCACCATACAAATCACGTTCTCAGATTACAGTGCAACTGGACAGAAAAAAAGATACTAAATAACAGAAAGATAGCCGAAAGAAAGAGTGCAGGGGAAGAGGCCTATTCTAGTGTTAATTACCTACAGAGTCGGGGGGGAGGTGGAACTAGGAGCTGAATGAAATACCCAGGTAAATTATGCTTGTCACGCAAGGGGCTATCATGTGACATTAAAAGTATTTCTAAATGGAGTCTGTTGAAGACATTATATTAAGTGAAAGTTTAAATCTATATGTTACCCGTGATTACGACCACGTGAAAAACATCTGGGTGTTTAGACAGATTAGAATGGTGTACGCAATGAAAACAACTGCTATGTTGGCGGATTATGTGTCATTCTCCTTTCAAAAGGACTTCCTGTGGCGTGGCCGCACTGTGGAATGCGTTCGGGTGAGATGAAAGTTCCGGCTAATGAAACAAGAGAAGTAGGGACCCTGAAAGGCAGAGTGTGCCTTTCCTCATCTCGCCCCCTGAAATGTTCTTCGGCTTTGCTGCTACATGAACTGCGGCTGGACTGAATGGGAGACGCAGCTGACTGGATAAAGAACTGCTTCCCAAAGTAATGAATGAGAATGTATGTGACTCACAAGGCCAAACCGGCATTTTTCTATTCAACCAGCACCCACTATCCGCTCTGAAGACAAGAAAATTATCCTCCATTTTTTGGATATCAAATGAGGCTCTATTAATATTAAAGAGTGCATGTTTATGTGCCTATGTTCTAGTGGAAATCATCAACATTTGCTCCAATATTCTTTATCATTTAGGAGAATATTTTAGCACAGGATAACCGCATTTTATTTCTCAGAGGCTCTGGCAAGGTGTGGTATAATGCTGGATCACAAAAGAAATCAATAATTTGCACTGTATGAGGAATGTGAATCTATCAATTCAAAATGAAATTGATAAAAATTACCCGAAACAGTCTTTATGCTCGAAAAATACCCCAAGTGCAATGTTAAAGCCGAGGCCGTATTCCGCCTCAGGTGCACACAATGCTCAGCAACGATTAGGTATGCTGTGTCATGCCTACGGTAGCAACAGCCCATTACTACTTTTATTATAATTCACAAGCTGTTCTGTAAAAACAACACGCACCTACGAAAGGCGCTGGAGGCTGACTCAAGCGCAGCCTTCTTGCCTGTGAATTTTAGTATTTGTGCTCAGCATGGCCTATTCAGATATTGTTGAGATGAACAAAATCAAAACTGAATAAAATCTTAGGAACTGATATCCTCATCCTTTCTTGAACAGTAACCTATGCTGCTGATTCAAAGGCATCTACTAGAAATAACTTATTCAGATTCACAGCCTGTCAGTAAAACGTATCTGCGCCTATGGTAACACAAAAGGGCTTACAAATACACCGTGCATTTGGTGAAGCAAGCTGACCAAGGACCTGTCTCATTTGATTGTCCTTTATTTATAGACAGACAAGCAACTCTGGTGTCCTGTCAATTAGCTCCGTGTCAACATCAGGGAAAATACTGATGATACAACTGTTGATACCAGGCAAATATTTCCTTTTCTTCTTCCTCTTCTTCCAATTCACTACCTGGGATGAGTTCTTTAAATTTCACAATGTCAAAAGATGGGCTGGAGAACACAATCGTCTCTTGTATCCTTTTAGGTGCTGCGGCTGTTTGCGGTTGCTAGAATTATAAATAAAAGTGGCAGGTGTTCTATATTTGGCTTTTACTACTTTATGTTTTTTAATCTGACTCTATATACTTGGCCTCATCTCCCAAAATTTTACAACAGATTTTTTTTTACCATTACAAGACAATACATCAATATATGTTTGTTTAAATATCCCTATGATGGGAAAATATATAATATGGCTTTTTTTTTTGGTTTTATTTTATTTCTGAGACAGGGTCTCACTATGTAGCCCAGGCTGGCCTTGAACTTATGGCAATCCTCCTGCCTCAGCCTCCTGAGTGCTGGGATTACAGGCATGCACCACCATACCTGGCTCACAATATAGCTTTTAATAAGTGTAGCTAGAGCTGTATCTGTCGTCCCAGCTACCTGGAATGCTGAAACAGGAGAATCACTTGAGGCCAGGAGTTTGAAGCCAGTCTGGGCAACATAGTAAGACCCAGTCTCTCAAAAACAACAACACAAGTTTAAATAGAGATTTTACTCTGAGAAAAGCACCGCCAGAGATGTGTCTAAGTTTACAGTGTCGTCATATGGAGATGAGGTTTTTTTTTTTCAATTCATGCTGATGTGCAGTCAAAACAGCTGTTGTTTACCAGAATAGCTACTAATATTGTTTAAAAATTACAAATATTGTTACCAAGATGAAAGTAGCTTTATACCATCCAAGGTACAATGCGCCAAAGGTGTTTCGGCCTTGAATTTGCAGATTAGAAAAATCTTACTTATGCAAGTAGAATGTCTTACAGGCCATTTGAATATCGCCCAAATCAATGAATCCAGTAAAGTTAAACTTACAGTTACTTCAGAAGCATCTTTTTTCTCCGGTGTCATATAAGCTTTTCTCATTTTTTCAACTTTCATTTGTGCTTGCTTGGATCGACGCCCCAAGTGTCTCACTTTGCTTTGCTGTTGGTAGGGCCGATATAAAGGCTGCAGACTCGCAAAGGATGGACATCTAGAAGATGTTTGTGTTACACACAGAAAAAGCACACAAAATAAAATGCAAATGTAAGGCAAGTTCCAAGTTGTACTAAAACTTCAGCAAGTATACCCCAGACCTCAGTCTGCAGAAGAACACTGGGTGCCAGCTTTTAGGTTCAAGGTCACCGATGCTTGAGTTTCCAAGCATTGCTATGCACCTGGACCTTAGAATTGTGGAGGTCATAACATGGACGACAGTGATGATGCCAATGATAGAATCTGCTTTCGATTTAAAAGAAATTTTTCTGGAAAATACTATTAGCAGACATTGAGTTTTTAAAATGCCATATGCTAGCACCAAAAGAGTATTACATTTCACAAGGGTTCAAAAGAAAATTTGAGTGTGTGAGTGTGTGTGATACTTAGGATCGGACTCAGGGCCTTACACATGCTAGGCAAGCATTCTACCGCTGAGCTACATCTCCAACCCATATTTATTTATTTATTTATTTGGTACCGGAAATTGAACTCAGGACCTTGTGCTTGCCAGGCAGGCGCCTGTGCCGCTGAGCTCTATCCTCGGCCCTCCAACCCATTCTTAAAGTTTTTATTTTGAGACAGGATCTCACTAGGTTGCTCAGGCTGGGCTCAAACTTACGATCCTTCTCCTTCACCTTCCTAAGTCGCTGAGACTACAGGCCTGGCATGCACCACTGTGCTCAGTCAGAAGCTTTTTTTTAAAATTAGTGTCAGGATGGGACACAGTTGGTGCCATGCCCACGATCCCCCCGGCCTTCCCACTGCAAGGCACGTCAGCTCCACGTCCATCTGCCAGCATTTGCAGCGATGGCCCTGACAGGTGTCTTTGAAAACAAAAGCCCATATGCAGAGCAGGCTGGAAGCGTCTGAGAATGAATTCCTCCCTCCTAAGCGACCCTTACCCAGTGACTGATGGGCGCTGGTCTAGCAGCGTGGTGGCTCCCTCGGCCCCTGTGGGATAACTTAGCTCTGACATTCACAGGGGGGCTAAAGCTCCAATTACAGCGGCGACTTGCTTGTGAACAGTTTGGTTTCCTTCCCTTCCGTTTCGCCTTCCACTCGCTCCCCCAGCGGTCCTGGGATCCCCTTCCAAGTAACTACTCACACTCAAGTCCTCATCTCGGGATTTGCCTCTGTCTGGGAGACCCCAAACTCAGACTGTATTCCAGGAGCCTTTTATAAACATATTTTCTCCCAATTGATTTAGAATTTGGCTCCTTATTTGGCTCTTAAGTGACTCATTCTTGGATAATCCTTAGCAAGAATCCAAATAGCAGAGAGCCTAGGGTTATATACGGTGGCAAAGAAAATGACATCATTTATTTGATCTTGGTGGCAACAGGGTTAAACTCTCTATTCAGTGCTCATATGGATGAGCTAGAGAAAATCTATTTCATGATGACAGACTGTGTCCTAACCAGGCCATCTGTCTGGCAAATGTATAGCCTTGATCATAAAGTAAATGGGTGAAATTATGTTATGGGGTCAGCCCCACTCCTCTGCACTCCTTCTTAACACAGGGTCACCAGTGTCCTCGTCATGTACCAAAGGCGTATTTTTCATTCGAAGACGAGCATGTGCAAATAGACTGCCAATAAGTCTTTTCCTTAAGAAAGCCAGCTTCATTTGTAAGTAAGATGGGCTAGGTGAGTCTTAGTAACGGACGGAAAAAAGGAATGTAATTGAGGCAGTCACATTCTGTCCGTGTTGTTTCAGATTATAATACATCTATTTTCCTGCAGCATGCCTTTCCAAAATGGGAACTGCTTCGCATGCTATTGGTGAAGAAGGGAATAATGTCACTGTAATTTATGTGCAATTTATCCTAGGCAAGGTGACCGGAATAGCGAGAATCGAATTATAACCTCCAGCACACCGTGCTGCACGGACAGTGGGAGCGCCTTCGGCCGTATTTGCCAAAACAAATATTAGCACCTCTACCCCGGGCTCCCCCCAGAGGTCCGAGGCCCCCCAACTTGCCCTTTCTGCGCTCCCCACCCTCCTGGCCTTGGATGGCTCTCAGTTCTCAGCTTGTTTCACCCCCCCGACCCAAGGCTCCCCCTCCATCTGCACACCGTCTGGCACCCACGACCTATTAAAGAGTCGCCGACATTTCCCCTCTATCGCTGTACAGTTTTTCCATTTGCTGTGGCAACCTCCAGCTACCCTGAGCTGCCCATCTGCTGGGACAAGTTATCTCCCCAGGTACCCAGCGTCCTTTGGTTAGTGCTCTGTTTACGAAGGTGCGTACATTTTGGGCAATCTGCCCCTAACTTGATTTTTCCCATATGCCCTATTATTATCTTTAGTGAGCTCTCTGGCAGAATGTGAACATTTTCAGAAATGTCTACCGCGTTGGAACCTTGAGGAAGGATGTGTTTTACCTGACTTCAGAAACAATCTGTAGCTGGCGTTGACGGATCTCTTCCGTTCGTGGTCTCTGTAATAGATACTTTACTTCTTTTTGTAAACGGGCTGACATTACTCCAGACTCTGCATACTTAACTATGTCATACATCATCATTGTCCTGGGAATGCTTTTGAGGTTTAATCTTCGCCAAAGGTTATTCCTGCCACCAGAGGAGGCAGGGATCTCATCCAGAAGACTGGAATACTGGAAGGAAAAATGATTTGGAATGATTGGTTGTAGATGGTCTCTAACGGTTTTAGACACATTGAACACAGTTCCCCTAAAACTTCACTTCCTCCAAAAGGCACTCCTTGGGCTCACCTCTGGACTCTACGGACAGCTCTCTTTTATGGCTACTACTGCCAACTAAAGCTGTCTGAGCCACCTGTATATGCACCTTAGCTCCCTAACTGGAACCCAGGAGCTGCGTCACAGTGTCGGTACATGGCACCACGCCCACTAAGTGTTTCTTTAATGCATAAATGTTTTCATGGCACACAGAACGTAAATAGATTAAACTCAGGAAGGGCCTAAAATTCATAGTAGCTCTCTGTTCTGCTATCTTGTAGTGGTCATTTGTTACACGCTTGCATTGAGAGAACATTTGAACAAAATCTTTTTAGAAATAATGAGTTTGGGCTGGGGATTTAGCTCAGCGGCACAGCGCCTGCCTGGCATGCGCAAGGCTGTGAGTTTGATTCCCGGTACTAGAAAAAAAAAACAAAAAAAGAAAAGAAATAATGAGTTCATCTTTGGTGCACAGTGAAGAATTTCACTATTTTCATTTGGAGTATTTGTAGAAACCCCACTTTACGTTTTTCCAACTTGTTTTTGTTTTTTTGAGACATAGTCTCACTATGTAGCCCAGGCTGGTCTTGAACTCACAGAAATCCTCCTGCCGGGGCTTGGGATGTAGCTCAGCGGCACAGCACCTGCCTGGCAAGCACAAGGTCGTGAGTTCAATTCCTGGTACCAGAAAAAAAACAAAAAAAGAGAAAAAAAAAAAGAAATCCTCCTGCCTCAGCCTCCTGAGTGCTGGGATTACAGGTGTGTACTACCAAACCCAGCCAAATTAGGGTTTTAAAAATGAAAATATATAGTCAATTTAACATTGTAAATGTGCACTTAAGAGATAGAGATATGGCAGAAGGAGCTACCAGACTATGCAATAGCACCTATGATGCTAGGAAACAGGGAGGCCTTTAGGGTATAATACACACAGGCTCACACACTTCCCATGTCACACTCTCACACTCACACACACAGAGGCAGCCTTCCCCTGGCACCACTTTGGCACGCATGCATTTGAGTCACCGCTGTTTCCTTGAATAATGCCAGTCCCCCCAATAGCAGGGTGCCACTCGAAGCCACTCCAGTACAACTGGGGCAACTGCATAAAGTGCAAACTTGGCTGCCAGTTCTTCAGTTCTAGACCACCACAGAGATGACAAACGTTCACAATTAGTGAGAAATCATGTCGTTCCTGTTAACCTTTAAGTGGTTGGTTACTTTGAATCTGTTCTTCAGCTTACATGCAGATGGCAATGAATGTACTTGTGTGGCCTCTTTATTTTGTTTTGTCCTTTTGAGACAAGGTCCCACTATGCAGTTCAGGCTGCCTTGAACTCACTTTGTAGCCCAGGCCGGCTTGGAATTCACAGTGATCCTCCTGCCTCAGCCTCCTGAGTACTGGGATTACAGCTGTGTGCCACCACGCCTGGCTGTGTTGCCTGTTTGTGATAAAGCTATGTGACATTTTACAGAGCTGGATAACTCAAAGAGCATTGGGCAGCAAAGAAAAAGTGGGAGTGAAACCAGAATCACAACTAGGTGGAATCCTAGAAGAAACAAGTGACCACGGTGGAGCTGATGCTGCTGTCGCTAAAAGACAGTAGACGTGCAGCTAGGGGAACATGGCGAAGATGAATTTAGCAACATAAGCAAGGGGAGTGGCTGTGACAAAAAGGATGAGGCTGTTCCACAGGAAGTGATGCTGGCCCAAAAAAGCTTCACATTAAAGGGATGCTGACATACTTCACACCATTTAAAGTGCACAGAATAAAATGTTGGCAGCTGATCCAAGCTCAGGATTGTGACAATTCACCACGGCACAGAAGAGATGCCTGCTCCCTACTGCAGTTTACACAGTAAGAACAAGAAGGCAAGTGCTGTTCAAATTATTCCTGATAAGCTGGGATTTTTAAGGAGTGAAGCCAGGGTCTCCCATATGCTGTGCAAGCGCTCTATTCCTGAGCTACATCTCCAGTCCACTTTTTCACCGCTCTGAGACTTACTTACAAGGCAACTCACCATGCAAAATACACAACTCAATGGCTTTTACTACTCACAGCTGCTAAGTTTTCCCAAAGAAATAAAACTTTCATTTCCAGTATATCTCATACTTTAAATTATAGCATGCTGAAAGTGTGGGTTTTTTCCCTTTCATTTTCTTATACTGTATATTTATGACAGACAGAGTTTTTAATGTTTTTTTCAAGAAATTTTAAAGGTCACAGGATCACTGCAAATTTCCCCACTGATTATTAAGTTTGCTTTGTGTGATTTCAGCTTGCATGATCATTTTTATGACTCCACACTACTGTTCACAGTGAAACTGCCTGTGTATTTTATTTCCCAAGAGTGGGGTAGTAAAATGAGTAAATACTCCAGGCCTGTCAAGGGCCTGTGCTGTCGTTTATTCACTGTGTGACCTTGGGCAAGGTTTTTCGGACCTCATTAAACCACGTTTTTCTCATCTGTAAAAAGGGTCACATAATTTACAAACTCCAAGATTAAAGGAGAGAGCATGCCTGTAAAAAGCTAAAAACTGCTGTCATGAGCTCAGTAAATGTCTATAGCAATCTTATCTCTCTCTTTCAATACCCTCCCTGGAGACTCCTCTTTATGACACCAACCCTAACGTATTAATGATCTGCAAGGATGTGACCCATGTCCTTAGCAAAGATAGCTGACATCCCAAGCTCTACATGTTTCCTGGTCCAATTCCCTAATCTCATCGCTTACACTCTGAAAGAAAGAAAACACTCAAGAGTCTCTAAGGTGCTACATTAATTTCAGGTTTCATATTGAAGTGACTGAGCGAAGAGCTGAGGCCATACACATCATTATGAGGCAGAATTTAGGGATCACTTGTTTTTCTAACCACTGCAAAATGAAGGTGTGGTATGTATGTGTACCAACTCCCCATGATGAATGGAATCACTGTGTACTGCAAACGTACCAATAAAATTTTAAAAAAAGTATTAAATGGTAAATCAGACTTACCAAAAAAAAAAAAAGTTGCAAAATGAGGGTAATAGCAGTACCTCCCTCTTTGGACTGTTCTGAGAATAAAAGGAATAATAACTCTTGCTATTACTATTCAGATGTCTAGCTTAAGTGCCCTGATTCTGCACTGCTAGCTATTGAGTTATACAAACAGAAACCTAGGAGTCACGCTTTATTTCCCTCCTGGACACCCAGGCCTTCTGGGTGTAAATGCCATCTTGTGTCTCCAGAAGCACAGCCCTAAACCAAGGCTAACCTATTTCTCCTAAAATACTCAGGATCCCCTGAAGTATGAAGCGAGATTGAAATTTACAAGGAATGTTTAAATTTAAAATCTGTATTACAATAAAAAGACACATTGTCATTAATCCTCCTCAAAGTACTCCCCTTTCAGCCGGGCGTGGTGGCACACACCTGTAATCCCAGCACTTGGGAGACTGAGGCAGGAGGATCGTTGTGAGTTCGAGGCCAGCCTGGGCTGCAAAGTGAGGTCAAGGCCAGCCTGAACTGCATAGCGAGACCTTGTCTCAAAAAGACAAAAAAAAAAAGTACTCCCCTTTGCTTTGAACACACTTATCCCATCATTCTTGCCACTTTCTGAAGTAGTTCTGGAAGTCCTCTTTCATGACAGTCTTTACGTGGTGAGCAAAAATACCGTATAGTGAATGCTGCTGCCGACTGCCTTCCAACTGAAAGGCAGGCTCATGACAACATTCTATGGTGTGCTTATCGCCTTATTCACAGGATCTGGCACTGTGCACCCTCTGGCTCTTCCCCAAAGTTAAAATGACTAAGAAAGGTAAATGTCTTGAATCCATTCGGGATGTCAAGGCAGCTCCAATCCAACAGTGTAACTAAAGACACTCACAAAAGAGGACTTCAGAACTGCTGCCAAAAGTGACAAGAGGGGCTGGGGATTTAGCTCAGCAGCACAGCGCCTGCCCGGCAAGTGCAAGGTCGTGAGTTTGATTCCTGGTACTGGAAGAAAAACAAAAAACAAAAGTGGCAACAATGATAGGCATGTTCAAACGGAAGGGGAGAATTTTGAGGGAGATTAATGGCAATGAGTCTTTTACTGTAATACAGTTTTTAATTTTTAAAAAAAGTATTCTCTGTATTTTTAGTCACATCTAGTAAGGAATCTCTTCCCTCAGTAGATTTCAAATAATGCACAAGCTCCTCACTGCACACAGAACAGAGAAGATAAACCCTTTACTGTGGTGTAAAGCCCTGCATAACCCATTAACAGCCCTGCGGCCTGACCACATACCATGCGCTCTGTGCACTGCCTTCCTCAGCCCCCAGACGTGCTTTCAGGGCCAGCAGCAACTCCTGCCGCAGAGCCTTTGCCTGCTGGAGCCACCTGCTCACCCCCAGATTGACACTTGTCATTGTCTGTCTGCCTGACTTCTACCTAGCACAGAGAGCCATACTATTCAGGTACGGAATAGGACTGCGCTTCGGGAAGAGGGCCCCAGCACATGGGCCATGATTGTTCTCAGTCATGGGAAAGGATGCCATTTCCCTTTGTCAGTGATTGGCTTAGGGGGAACATGTGACCCAGCTCTGACCAATTAGACCTGAGAGGAAGTCTACTGGGGGCTTCTGGAATAGATCTGCCTGCTTGATTGAGATGAAGAGAGAAAGATGCTAGGAATCCCAGTCTTGCCGTCTCTTGAATGGAGCTGAGGATGTGATAATTATCTTGTTACTATGTGAAGGAAGCGAACAGGACTGGGGAGAAGCTGACCCACAACCCTAATGTTCTTGAGCTGCTGAATTGGCCCAAGAACGGTTTATCTGTGAACTTCTCTAACTTGACAATAAATAGTCTTTATTGTGTAAGCCTCTTGTGGCTGAGAATACTCTGCTACTTGTAGCAGAAAGCATTCAATCAAGAGGAGTGATCAAATCCTCATCATGAACTATTTTAGCACCCTGTAGTGATTTTTAAAAATTGAGATAAAACTCACATAATATAAAATTTGCAATTTATAACACTTTAAAGTATGCAGTTCAGTAGTTTTTAGTATATTTATAACATCGTGTAACCATCTCCACCAATTCTAAAACATTTCCATCACCCCATAAAGAAACCCCATATTCCTTTTTTCTTTTTCTTTCCTTTTCTTTTTTTTTTTGATGGACAGAGTCTCACTATGTAGTTGAGGTTGCTGGCCTTGAACTCACTAGGTAGCCCAGACTGGTCTCAAGCTCACAGTGATCCTTCTGCCTCAGTCTCCTGTGTGCTGGGGTTACAGGCGTGCGCCACCACGCCTGACAAGAAACCTCATATTCCTTAGCTATCACCAGCGGCCCTGCTGCCCAGACACAAAGGGCCACGTATGACATGACTCCTTTCCGTGAACTGTCTAGTCTACGCAAACCCATAGGGACAGGAAGCAGGGGTTAAAATGCTAGAGGAATGTGGAACGACTGTTTATTGGATACTGGGTTTCCCTGTGGGGTAAAAAAAAATTCCGGAAGCTGATGGTAGTGATAGGTACTTGTTGATACGAATGTATTTAATGCCCCTGACCTGTGTATTTTAAAATGGTCAAAATGGTAAATGTTATGTTATTTGTAGATTATCACAATAAACTCATGTATTATTCTTTCTTCTTGGAGGACAGGAGGGCCTTTTTTGTTTTATTTGGCTTTCAATAGCTAACTCTAAATTCCTTACTTGCATGTAATCTTGTGTGGTAACAATATCTACATGGTCAGTTATTCTGAACTTCTGAGAAAGACGTTCATCTTCCATGATTTGCTCATAAAATTTCTTTCTGCCCATCATTTTACAAGCATCGATTACTCCCTATAAAGAAAATAGAAAACAGATTTTTTTTTAAAAAGTAGCATTGTAACATTTTCAGTGATCAGCACATGCTTTATATATTTTTTTCTGACAACTACATCAAATATTGTTCCTTTCTCCTAGGAGTTTGCTATTCAGTAGAAAGGCTAAATTTTAAGAATAAATGGAGATTTTTTTTAGCCACATAATTTGCTTCCATGCTACAGCTATATGGTTTTTAAATGCAGCTAGAGTAGCAGAGTCCACAATCCTCAGAGGACCAGTTTTTAAAAATCTGTTTCTTCTCCTTGAAAAACATTCTTCTGCTTTAAAAGACAGAAGCAGCCTATAACGTCATCTGTGCCGTCAATGCAGAGAAACTTCTCGGGTGATTAAACAGGTTGCCCTAGGAACTGCAATGAAAGGTGTTACCAGGGCCTACGCTCTTTTATGTGTTAGTTAATACACTGTCCCCTGACAGAAATATGTATGTTTCAAGTTGCTTAGGCCTCTCTCCCCTTCAGTCTTCATTCTCGGTGGCCAAAGAAGCAAATAAAGGATTTTTCTTTCTCAAATGTCAACAGTTTATACTCGAGGAAAGCATCTGAGAGATCAGAGAGAGAAGAATCACACAGGAAATATGGAGGCTTGAATGCTGTCCGGCTGGAGAGACACCAGACCTCTCCTCTTGTGCCCATCCCTGTGTGAAGGGTTTACACGAATGGCAAGAGAGCCTGAGGTATGCCCCATCCCCCAAGTATGTGCTGACTCCCCCAACACATATTTATATTACAGACCTGTGTTTCTGGCCACAAAACGTCTGTTTACATTGAGGGAGGCTGGTGGAGAAGAAAATCCAAATATCTTTTGATTCTAGATCGGTTTTTCTTTCCCCTCATATCTCATAACGTGCCCCTTGTGAAAGTGTGAGGGTGCTGTGAGAATGCTGATCGGGGGCCACAAAACAAGTGACTGCAGAAGGATCAGAATCCAGAATCTTTGTTCTTCTTACTTAACACACATCACAGCAGCTAGCCTTTGTGTATTTTCTACTCCAATTTTCATTTTGTTATCTAGAACGTTTTAGAAAAAACATCCGGAGCCTCAAAGACATATATGGAAAACAAAAAAGGAAGAAAATATCACAGTGGTTGTAGTTTTCTTCCTAATGTACTAAATCCTAGGGTCAAAGCAGTTTACGGATAATATGAGGCGAAGCCTTCCTATTGGTGGATAATTTTTCTTTCCATTTTTTTTTTTTTTTTTTTTTTTTTTTTTTTTTGGTTTTTCTCCGGTACCGGGAACCGAACTCACGACCTTGCGCTTGCCAGGCAGGCGCTTTTGCCGCTGAGCTAAATCCCCAGCCCCTCTTTCCATTTTGTTATTTTCTCTACACCTTGTACATCTAAAGAAAAGACAGTATCGGCACATCTCTCCATTATGTTTCCTTGCAATTCATTTCTTATGGGTTTAATCAGACAGCTCCTATAGTGACACTAAAGCAAAAACAGGTCACCGTGCACTGAACAGGTACGGAAACCATGTGATTTCTGCTGCAGGGACTTCCTTAGGGATAACTGTATTTTACTTTAGTTGAGGTTACCTAGAGGAGGTATTTACTGTCAGCGCCTCCCTCCACGGCCCCACTCAGTCGCCAGCACCAGTCTCTCCAAGACCCTCATTTGCACAGTGCCTCGGCTGTGTGGCTCAACTGTCTCTGGCCTATTCCAGTTCCTTGGCCAAAGAAAAACAGGCCTGGCAGCACAGGACAAACTCTCGGTCCACTTGTGAGAGGGGCTGGCCTTTCACTGGCCAAGACATTCTTTCTCAGACATCCGATAGGTGTGGCCACATTCAGGAAAATCTTTCCCCACAGCAGGCAAGGGGAAGAAAGCCCCTACCTTCGAAGAGAAGAGTGGGCAAAAACCAGGCCACGGCTCCAGGACGCCAGCCAGTCCGAGTAGGATTCAAGATGCAGGTTCTGTTCTTAGTGAGTGAGTCACAGGGCAAACGGAGGGCATCTCTAATCTGACACTTCCCACACTGCTCCGCATCACTGTGGCCCAAGGGCCCCAATAGCCTGGTGGCTACTTGCTGGCCAAGATCCCTACTTAGGCTTGTAAAGTTACTCTAAGATCTCAAGTCACTTTCCCATCTCTGCTGGAAATTCTTGCTCATGAAAGGAGCGATAATTGGTATCCCTGCCCTGGGACAGTTTCTTGGTTTGGAACAGTTAAATTCTATTCAGGCTCAGATGCAATAAAATCTCCGTAACTGCTGGGGTTGTTACAACCTTGAAACATTCACAGCACTGAGGGAATACAGACAAGTGTTCAAGTCTCAGCTGTGGCCCTGACAAGTCTTTCTAGCTTCTGCCCAGGCAAAATGCGAATGGTATGTGCCTTGCGAGGGACTGAGGACCACATGGAAGAATGTGTATAGAATGGTTCCGGACTCCCAGGAGTGGTTAAGATCCCAGCTTTGGGCTCAGTCTCCTCACTTTCTAGTTGAGACACTTTGAGAAAGTTACTTGGTCTTCTCAAAATAAGAATAATAACAGAATACACTATAGTATTTATGAGAATTAAATGAAACAGTACACAGAAAATGTGTAAGATTACAACTGATAGAAAGTGATCCAGTAGCTGGGGGTGGTGGTGCATGTTTGTAATCCCAACACTCAGGAGGCTGAGGCAGGAGGATTGTCATGAGTTCAGGGCCAGCCTGGGCTACATAGTGAGTTCAAGGCCAGCCTGAACTACATAGTGAGACCCTGTCTCAAAAAAGAAAAGTAGGGGCTGAGGATTTAGCTCAGTGGCACAGCGCCTGCCTGGCAAGTGCAAGGTCGTGAGTTCGATTCCCGGTTTCGGAAGAAAAACGAAAAAAAAAAAAAAAAAAAAAGAAAAGTAAAGGAACTTAGACTAAACATCTAAGTAGACCAAAACTGACTTTAATATTAAGAAATAAGTAAATTTAAGAAAAATTGTATCGGTTTGCTAAAGACATAGTACCTTCGTTCAAAGAGCAAAATGGGGTAAGCTTAGAGTGAAAAAAATTCCATTTTTGCAAATTTTCTATCAATCACAAATCCAAGTGTTATTAGAGTTTGTTTGAAGCTAGACAAAGGGACAAAGGAAGTCCAAACTATCCCCTTCAAGCTGGGTATGCTATCATTTAAAACTCATTATAAGGTTTGGTGAAAAGCTCCCGCTGAACAGTATGATCACATTTCTACAATTGTAACCAGCAGAATTATAAATATCTGTATATTTTCATGAGAAAAAGGAAGGCTATATAACAAACTCTTACCAGTGCTTACTCCAGGAAAGTGATAGTTGTAGCACAGAAAAGAAAGATATAAAGGCATTTCATTTTTTATATCTCTGGTCTACTTCCACTTTCTCCCAACAGAATTTAAACAAAAACAAATTTTTACAAGCAAAAAAGAAAGCTAAACAACACACATAAAACCAAAAAGTTAACGAAGTTGTCATCCAGCATCCTAATGAGTTTAAGGCACACGCAGCGATTTCCAGTTCCTGCCTCTAAGCTACTTACTTTCTCAAGCCTGGGCCCGGCAGGAGCTGGCAGGGGCTGACCCAGGAGGATTTCAGCTCCTGGAAAAACCCCATTATATAACCTCCGGAAAAAACAGCTGATGATCAGGACAACTATCAGCTTATGCTGCAGATGAAGCTTGCATAAATTTATTCCTCAAACGTAAGACAAACATATAAATGTACAAATATTAATGCCTTCGAAACGGCGTCTTTCGTGGTGAAAACATTTAGTTCATTTGCTGCACTTCCGAAATGGAGCGAATTTTGCTCTGCTATTGCCTGAGAGCAGAGGAAAGCAGCCCTGACCCTTTTCTCATACTCGTTGGGGACTCAGTGCTGCGGTGCTGGATCTGACCGGAAGCCCCCAGGCTTCGAGGTCGTGTTCCCTGGACACGAGCTACAACTCTTGATTGAGGGTAGGCCATGCTTTCCGTGTAAAATATTTCCAAAATGCATGTGTGTGTGTGTGTGTGTGTGGGTGTGGGTGTATGCGTGCATATGCACGTGATGCTGGGGATGGAATCGAGGGCTTCCCCGCTGAGCCACGCTCACAGCCCAGGACAAAACCTTTGATGTGTGGCTTATGAGAATGTCTCCCTTAAACTCAATTACAGTCAGGTATGAGGGTCAAAGGGGTACCGCCTCTGCTGTAGACACTTGCTGTTAAAAATGTGGCCCATGATTTCTCTTATATGAGACATCCAAAATATAAATAAATTAAAGAGCAAAATAAAAGACAGAAAACGAAAACGGGAGATAGATCCTTTGCAAAAGGGAAGGGGATGGAGAGAGGGAGGGGGGCAGGGATGAAAAGAAGAATTGAGATGTGTTTCGTGCATGGACCATCTCCCCAGGAGGGAGGGGAATTGTAATGTGTAAACATCGTACTGCAAAGAGGCACTCATAAAAATAAAAATTAAAAAAAGCACAGTCCATGACCGACAGTGGCAGTAGCATTTTAACAAGATCCCCGGATGATTCCTACTCGGTACACACAATTGTGCTTATTATTCATGAGATGGAAAGATATAATGAGAACTCTTATAAAGAAAGGAGAAATACTTTGGAAATTCATTTTCAATAGCATAGTCCAGCACATTTTTAAAAATATGCTACCAGACTCAAAGAAATAATAAAATTCCATTAGAACAAATAAAATGCATCACACGTTCTGCCCTAACCAATATGCTGCTTTAGTCCATTATTAACTGAGCAGAATTTTAATACAGAGAAAACGGATGGATATTTCCTGGAGCCTTATATAAGTAATTCATTCCAAATGTTTCTAGCTAATAAATGGAGACACTTTGAAACATGATACTTAAAAAAAAAGCTACCTGCCCAGTGGGCTGTTTAATGGTGACATAACTTAGTCTGCACACTCTGAATGCAACCCAGACAGCACTTAGATGTTAAGAAGCTATATTAACATAAAATGTACATCATAGAACATCACCTTGCTTGATGGTTTTAATAAATTTTTCCCGCTGAAATACTTGTAGCCATGGCCCTCAGTATGAAGAAAAATTTTAAATACGATGAAAGGTGGAAATGTTTCACCGCTAAATCTGAAATAAAGACCAAAAATTCGTCATTTAGCATCCGCTCGGCGGCTCTGTTCCTTCTCCCCCTTGTACTTCAGATATTTGTACAGTTTCTGGATTGCAGCACAGGGGCTATGCCGAGAGCACACAAAGACCTGGTAATGCAATGGACCGCGGAGCACGAGCCCGCACCCCTGGGCTCGAGACGTCCTCACATCCGGGTCAGACTGGATGCACAGGGCAGGGGAGGGCGGCTTGCATGGCCGCTCTGAGCCAGGATCAGGCCTTAGTTACCGTGGGTAACAAATGCGAAGAAGGACAACACACTGGCTTGGTAATTCTAGCCTGAGAAGTCGTGAAGATTTAAGAAATTAATTTCTAACATCTGTCCTTATGAATGAAGTACTCTGTGAGAGAAAGCGGCACAGACATATTACCTGAATCTGACTTTACACTTCATGCTAGGATCTTTGACAAGTTCAGCTTCTAAGGGGCACACATTCTTCAGTATTTCATGAGTCACGCAATACTCCTGAAACAGAGGATGGCGCTGTGAATGGAACGTGCTATGCTACCCACTGACTATAACAGAGGGCGCGAGATAACCTCATCACCAGTACATGCGGCCTGGAGTTTTGAAGGAGTGGTTTCCTATCTTGGCTCCTCCATTACCTGTGTAGCCTTGAGCCAGTAACTCAGTCTTTTGGGTCTCCAGATTTGAGTATCTATCCCTTTTTATGATTGCAAGGAGCCAGGAGTGGGGGCACACGCCTGTAATCCCAGCACCCGGGCGTCTGAAGCAGGAGGATCGTCACAAGTTTGAGGCCAGCCTGGGCTACATACTGAGTTCAAGGCCAGCCTAGAACATAAAGTGAGACCTTTGTCTGTCTCTGAACAAATAAAATAATGAGAAAGAAGAAAAGATCACAGGGAATTGTTCTTTCTCTATGACAATACATCTTGTACTCTACTGTAATTGCCTATAAACGTGTCTATGGCTCCTACCAGACTAAGCCTCATGAAAGAGGGGACAGGGTCTTTCTTATTGCTACATTCCTACTATCTGCAACAGATGCTGAACATCTTTGATGTGGAATGAATGACTGTGAGGTCAGGGCGATAACAGTAAGTTACGAGCTGATAAGCACCTTGTGTACCACATAACTACGTCAGGTGCCCTATTATGATCCTCGTGGAATCCTCACAACAGCAATATTATTACAATGCTATCATCCCCATTTTACAAATGAGAAGGCTGAGGCTCAGGGAATTTTTATAACTTGCCCAACAGCATACAGAGACGCTGAGAATCCAAACTTAGGTCTGACTCTAAAACTCCCAATCTTTCCCTTAAACGACCCCACTCAACCTTTATCACTATGCTGATCACATAAAAATGTATAATAAAAGGCTGTTAGCAATACAAAGCATTATTAATGTCAGCATTGATTGACGCTTAGGGTAATAGATGAGAAAAGAATTCATTCCCCTCTTTCGGTTACTAAGATCTAAAATTACAAGGAAGCCAGTAACATGGTCATTAAAAGCAAGTTCTGCATGGGAGACAATGGACAGTGGACTCCAAATGTCAAGAGTTTACTTGGGTGGCTTTTCTCTGAGGTGCTCTGCTTTACATCAGAAATGGGTCAGACTCCATGATTTTTGGGGGGCTGCCAGAATTCCCTCCGTGTGACTATTACTGATAACAGACTACTGGAATTATGGGTCATTTATTAGGAGAACATTTAGTACTATACCGAGGGAGCCTTAATGTTCTGCTCGGATCACAAAGGTTATGTTGGGGAGGAGGGAGAATGTGCATCTGTTTTTGGTTTTCATTCAAATAGGATTATATTCTTTATACTGTGCTGACTGGCCTTTTTCACTAATAAGGTACCTTGGTTATCATTCTGTTGCACAATCAGGCTGATGTTGCTACGTTTAACACTATGAAAACAGCAACAGCCGGGCATGGTGGTGCCTGCCTGTGATCTCAGCACTCAGGAAGCTGAGGCAGGAGGATTGGTGCAAGTTTGAGGCCAGACTGGGCTACATAGTGAGCTCAAGGCCAGCCTGAACTATGTACGGAAACAAAAAACAAAGCAAAAAACCCAGCAACAGTTACTTAACCTGCATCTTATCAGCGGACACTACATGGTTCACTTTCCTTGCTGTTATAATCAATGCTGCAGTGAAATTATCCCTATGTTGTAGAACGCTCTTAGAAGTGAAACTATGGGCACTTTTAATTCAGCAATGTTGGGGGAGTGCTGAGGATTAAACACATGCGAAGCCCTGGCTCCACCACTGAGCCACACCCCAGCCTCTAAGGCAGGTATATTTACTGCTGCCAGATCACTGTCTCACATCTTCAATAAGAAATCAAATTCAAGCTGGGCTGGTGCTGCGTACCTGTAATTCCAGCACTCAGGAGGCTGAAGCAGGAGATACTCGATTTGTAGGTCAGCCTGAGCTACATTGTGAGTTCAAGGACAGCCTGAATTACATAGTGAGCCCTTGTCTCAAACAAACAAACGAATCAACAGTATATTAATTTCAGAAAAAGAAGTGAAATAATATACATTAAAAATAAGTTCAAGCAGAGCATGGGGGTGCATGCCTAGAATCCCAGCACATGGGAGGTTGAGGCAGGAGGATCTGCTAGTTCGAGACCAGCCTGAGCTACATAGTGAAACCCTATCTCAAAAAAATTAAATATATCCTGAAATATTCATTTATAGCGAACAAAAGAAGCAATTCCAGAATCCTGTGCAGTATTATTAGATCCAGACAGAAGAGGGAAAGAGGGTTATCTATTCTATGTTTAATTAACAGGTCTTTTTACTTATAAGTAATTGAATCTGCTAGAGAAAATAGAAAAATACATACCGCTGCACAAATTGTGTGTTTTAGGAGTTGAAATATCATTTTGTCCAAATGGACGAACCACGCTCTTTGTATTTTTCGAGCCGAAATGTCTCTGTTAATTATAAGAGGGGAAAAAAACAGAGGTTCATGTCTCTGAAGTTGTCATTTTCTTAAGATCTTGGAGAGCTCTCAATTTTTGTTCCCTTTTCCTATGCCTTCCCATGCCCCACAAGCAGGCAGACTTAATGAGGGGAATTTGGATGCAGTAATTAAAACTGGTCATCTGCAGAATTAATCAGAATGAGGACATGAAAAGCTTAAGAACACTTCCCTTGAGATTAGAAAAAATCCTGCCTAAAACTTTCTCATTAGGAGGTGTACAGATTGTGAATTTATCACAAAGAGGCATATAATAAGCCCGGCATCGGGGTGCACACCTGTAATCTCAACGCTCGGGGAGGCTGAGTCCGGATCACAAGCTTGAGTTCAGCCCAGGCAACTTAGTGAGACCTTATCTCAAAATGAAAAGGAAAAAAGGGCTGGCGATGGAGCTCGTGGGAAGGGCCTGGGTTCAATCCTCAGTCCTGAAAAACAAAAGGCGTCTAACCAATAGCACTGGGGAAAAAAAAGAGAAAGAAATAGGGCTGGGGGTTGTAGCTCAGTGCGACAGTGCTTGCCCTGCGTGTGTGAGACCCTGGGTTCAATCCCCAGCACCCTCTCCAAAAAACAGAGAGAAAGAAAGAGAGGAAGGCATGTAGGAAATAAAAAGTATGAGGAGATTGGCTTGCTTTCTAAAAACATCTATGGCCTAAAATTATGGTTAGTTCTTTTTTTTTCTCTGAGATAGGGTCGCGCTATGTAGTGCAGGTTGCCCTTGAACTCACAGGGATCCTCCTGCCTCAGCCTCTCAAGTGTTGGGATTACAATCGTGCACCAACATGCCTGGTGTTTTCAGTTCTTAAAGCACTGTCCAGCTTGCTTCAGTGCGGTGCAAAAGGGAGGCGGAAGTGCTGAAGTTAGAGCAGCCCAGTTGTCTTCTGGGGCTCATGAGTATGAGCTAAAGAAAAGGCTTTCCTCGGTCTTTGCTTGGGGCAGACTCCTCCCAGTCAGGTTAGACAATTATTCTACTTTTCGTTTTTGTTTTGGCATGTTGGAAGCTGAAGCAGGGGCCTTCACACTGAGCTACATCCCAGTTTCTTTTACAATCTTTCTTTCTTTCTTTCTTTCTTTCTTTCTTTCTTTCTTTCTTTCTTTCTTTACTTCAAGACAGGGTCTTGTGATCCTCCTGTCTCAGCCTCCCAGAGTGCTGGGATAACAGGTGTGTATCACGTTGGATAATGTCCCTGCATGGGCAGATTACGCAGGTGGGAAAGGGCCTTGCATCCTCCCACTCTGCACAGAGGGTCACTGCCGGCGGGGTGGAAGCAGTCTGCATGGAGAAGAGGCCTGACGTGTGGAGATAGTCTTCCGTCCCAGCCAGGACGAGCTGTTTCACTTTGTGCAAGTCACTCACTTCCGGTTGCTTCTTCCTCATGCATAAAAATGAATAATAAAACTGGCTCACTAGGTTGTACCAGGATCAAATAGGTGCTTGCTAAAATGATTTGTAATTACAAACTATAATTATAACAGCTATTCAATTTGAAAGTAATATTATTTATTTATTTATATTTATCTTTTTTTTTTTTTTTTTTTGAGCCTGGGTCTTGCTATGTAGCCCAGGCTGGCCTCAAACTAGCAGATCCTCCTGCCTCAGCCTTCTGAGTGCTGAGATGACAGGCATGCGCCACCACACCTGGTAAAAGTAATTTTAAAACACAGAGAACTTTTAATTTATGCAAGAAGTGTTTGAGTTTATCTGGGTAAATGTGGATAAATTTTGAAACTGTCCAGTTATAGAAAATGACACAAGGGAAAAGATGGGTACTTACTGTTGTGTTGGTTTCGCCTTTGCCTTCGGAACCTGTGGCAAAGGTGCTGTGAGGCTTTTTCCCGAGCGTTGCTTATCTGATTTTAGAGTAACAGTACCTTTTGCCTTTGAGGAATGATTCATTTTCCTTATAACGAGATAATCTGAAAGTAGATAAACTAAATTGTTAAGGTCACAATCCATATAATTACACCATTTGGGCTGTTTTTTAAATTTTTAAAAAAGTTTTTTAGTACTGGGAATCAAATTCAGGACCTTGCGCTTGCCAAGTAGGCACTGTGCTGCTATCCCTAGCCCTGGACTGTGTTTTTGAGACAAGATTTTGCTATGTAGTTCAGGCTGGACTCAAACTCCAGGGCAGTGATCCTCCTGCCTCAGCCTCCCAAGTGCTGGGATTATAGGTGTGCGCCACCATGCGGCTGCGGAGTGAATCTTTATACACTTGTCTGAAAACTTTTCATCCTAAATTTGGCAAATAACTGTGAGGCTTTGGGCAAGGTCTTCCACTTCTCCATGGCTCAGTCCCATCATTGGTAAAGTAAGAGGGTGTGTACTAATTACCTGGTTCCACCTTTAGCTTTTTTTTTTGAAGTATTAGTTCATTTTGGATGGAGCTCCCGAATTCTTAGTTGCAATCTCAAAGTGGTTTTTAAACAAAATTATAAGTCATATGTTTTTATGCATTAAACAAAGTGAGAGCTGGGTGTGGTGGCTGGCACATGCCTGTAATCCCAGGACTTGGGAGGCAGAGGCAGGAGGATCCCTGTGAGTTCGAGACCAGTTTGGACCACATAATGAGCTCAAGGCCAGCCTGAACTACTTAGTGAGACCCTGTCAACAAAACAAAACGAAACAAAACACAAAAAACCTGAAACAAAATAAGAAACCTAATAATGCCTGTATTTCTGAAGTCATAATGAACATAAGGAGATATTCTGAACCATCTGCCATGACTAACATGGTATGACAATGTCTGTGCTTTCTACTGATGACAATGTTGGAGGTCTAACTAACACTACTGTGGTTGGCCACCTACACTGTAACTGCAGTGCACACTAAATTCAGTTAGTGGTTAGTGAAAACAAAGTTGTCATTATTTCCCCCATCCAAGTTCACATGCCCTCTGAATTAAGAACTCTTGTTCTAAATCGGGTATGGTGGTGCTAGCCTGTCATCACAGCACTCTGGGAGGCTGAGGCAGGAGCATGGCGAGTTTGAGCCCAGTCTGGGCAATTTGGTGACTTAGGGCGACCCTGTCTCAAAGTAAAAAATAAAAAGGGCTGGGAAAGGAGCTCCGTGTGAAGGGCCTGGGCTCATCCCCAGTACTGAATTCCTCTTCTAATTTATCACCGTGCTTCACACTTCTGCATACGAAAGATGTTACAGGACAGATTGGGGCCTTCAGCCTCATCAGCATTTCTCCCTAGGGATAGGGGTGGAGATGGCTTGCAATAAGCAATCCTTCTGAGAAGGAAGAAAAGCAGCCCCTAACATCTGGGAGCGGGCCTGGCACTCACAGCTGTACCTTGCTGTTCCCGCCGCTTCCTAACCAGCTCCAGTCCAAAGCCCAAATCCTGTAACAAATCGCTCACTGAAATGCCCGTTTCCCCCAGATGTGTTTTTCTCACAGCGATTTGAAACCCAACTTCTAAGAAAGTAAATTTATTTGTGTAAAAAAAAAAAATCAAAGAAAAGAAGCCCGACTTCTTCAACGACAGGTGTGTTCCTGGTATGCACACATCCCAGAACCCACCTGATGTTCACTGGGAAGGGGTTTCCCCTTCCATGGGGTGAGGGTGAGGAGGAAATGGGAACTACACCGTCATTATGAGATATTCTAACAACTGTGAGCCAGGTGTGGTAGCGCACGCCTGCAATCTTGGCACTCAGGAGGCTGAGACAGGAGGATCTCTGGGAGCTCAGCCTGGGCTACAGAATGAGTTCAAGGCCAGCCTGGAATACACAAGGAGACCCTGTCTCAAAAACTCCAAACAAAGCAAAACCAAAGCCCACACAGCTGTTTAGCCTACACACAAACTTCGAAGGCACACCGCCACCGGGGGTTGGTTCCCGGCTTCCCACTTTCTGCGTGGCCTTGTACAAATGTCTCAAAGTCGCAGTGCCTCAGCTTCTTCACCTGCAGGTTGGGAACGATAATGGTGCCCACGTATTTGTGCGGGGTAAATACAGGTAGCGAGCTAGCGCTTGCTGTTCTTGTTGATAATCACGGCCATCATTATTTCTCCTATTAAGGGACAAATACTTGGGGTTGTTGGGAGGAACTGACACTCAAGTATCTTAAAAAGTCGCGGCAAATTAGTTTAACTTTAAAACCTGAGAAACGTCCAGCCCAAGGGAAAGATCAAAACCCTTTTGTGACGTAAAACCAGGCGCCTACCGCTGACTTCCAGCGGTGAGGCCTGAGAGAGACACGGAGGGCCGACGAGCGCCCCCGCTCGGCCGCCTCTGCTCAGAGGACTCCCCGCCCACGTCGCTGGGCGCCGAATCGTGGCGGCGGCGGTCGATACCCAACGCCGCTCGGCGACGGTCACCACCCTACTCGCGCCTCCGCGTGCCGCCCACACTGAGCCGGCGCTTTCTTGCCGCCTAGCAACCACCAGCAGGGGCGGGGCCTCCTGGGGGCGGGGCTTGAGTTGGCTCATCGCCCCAGGCACGACGCGCTGCACCCGAACTACGCTACTTCCTGCTCAGGGTGGTTTAATTAAGCCTCGGCCACATCGAACTGGCGGTACGGCCTTCACTCACACCGAAGCCGGCGAGCGGTCGGGAGAATTAGGGCCCTACCGGGCCTCCGTAGTCAACTTTCTATAGTAGGCGGGACCAAGGCCGGGGTGACCCAGCCGGAGCCGCCGCTGCCAGAGACATGTTCAAGGTGAGAGCATGGAGCCGGGTCACAGCTGTCACCCCCCCTTCCCGGCCTCCCGGATCCCTCCCCTCCCTGTCGTGGGGCCGCCCGGGGGCCCAAGTCCGCCTCTCCCGGAGACTTTTCCCGCCTTCGGGCTGGCTGCGTTGCAGCCTTGTGTTTCATTCACACATCTGTTTGGGGCGAGTGGCTGCCGGGCGGAGGTGTGAGACCTCGGGGTGGGTGGGGTTGGCCGTTTGGGCCGTGATCTCCTGAATAAAACTTTCAAAAGTTAAAGTACCTCTCCGAAGTACCCACCTCCTGGGCTGTTGCCCTCTTGGGGTCGTGGGTAGGGTGAGGTCGGCTCAGGACTCTGCTGCGTTTGGGGCTTTCGTTGCTTGGCAGAGTCGGGTTTCAGAACCTGGAATGTGGCTGGGGGAGGGTCACCTTCGGAGAAGCTGTGGCGGGGTGCGGGCCCGTGGGGGGGCCGGCCGGCCTGGGAATGCTACGGGAGGAGGGAAGGTGGAACTCTGCCCTACTCTCCCGGGTGAGCATTATTCATAGCGACGAGAGCCCTTCCTTGCATTTCCTAAACACGTGTCCTTGGAAAGAAATGGACTTCTGCAGTGAAGACTGTTTCGAAAACCTGCATTTTAGCGTAAAGCCACTGTTTTACTCTTTTGGAGAGTATACGTTCAGTCATAAAACCAAGTCACGTGCTGCCAAAAATTAATGCACAAAATCGAGTCTAAGAAATAATAGCGTCCATAAAATATTGCTGATGAAATCTTTTTTCTGGTTCAGGGGATCTGAACCTAGGGCCTTGTGCATGCAAGGCATGAACTCTACCACTGAGCTACATCCCCAGCGAAATCTCTTTAACTGTGTTGCTCGTTTAAAAGTTTCATTAAGCTGCAGTGTGCTTTGGGCCCATTAGTAAAGGCTGTAACGTCAGCCTAGCATTGCCACTTTCTTGCTGTGTGACCTTGGACAAGTCACCTACCCTCTGTGCCTGTTGGTGAAACTAGGGTAATAACCTTGTAGGGTTAGGATTAAATTGGTATGTGTAAAGCACTTGGAAAAGGGCTTGGAATATAGAAATGACATCTAAGTATTTGCTTTTAATTGTTTTCAGGCAACTCAGTTTCGTTGTGAAAACAGATCCTATTTGCAACCTGCATCCATTTAATAAATGTGTTACACACTTACTGTGTTTTGGGACGTCAGCTCTTTTAGGCTTACGTTGAGGAGGAATATACTGGAATTAGTTTAACTATGTGGGTACTGGTAATGTAGTATGGTAGTAGAAAGGACAGTGGAATCTCACCCTAATTAAGGGCCCTTATCTTTGGGGCCTCAGCTCCTTAAAGAGCCTATTTGTTTTTTTGAGACAGGGTCTTGCCATGCAGTTCAGGCTGACCTTGAACTCACTCTGTAGCCCAGGCTGGCCTTGAACTCATGGCAGTCCTCCTGCCTCAGCCTCCCAAGTGCTGGGATTATAGGTGTGCACCACCATGACCGGCAAGGGTCTGCAGAGATAGAACTTGGGGTTCCTAAACTCTTAGGGGGAAACTATTTTCACCAATCACTAACAAATGGAACACTTCTTCAGTTATCAGTATGAATTACTGCTTTACTTATCTGTTATTGGGTACTGAAACACCATAAACCAGCTTAGTTATTTCTCACAGTCTGCGGCTTGGGTGGACAGTTTTACTGGAGACTGAATCCAGTTGGTGGCTTAACTGAAAGGTGGCTTCACTCCCATAGGGGGCTCTGTGCCCCTCTGTGCCTGGCTTGGGCTTTCTCTCGTTTCCTCACTCCCAGGATGGTGCTCCCAGTGTACACACACTTATTTGCAACACATTTGCTGATGTCAAGCCGTAGGGGATACAGTAGGGGACTACACAAGGGCACGGATATGAAGTGTGGTTCAGTGGGGTGTGGTTAATATAACAAACTCCCACAGGTACAAACCATAGTACTAGCAATAATTGTCAGCCGCAGAAGTCATAGTACCAGCACAAATCACAAACACTTTCATATTGTACAACAGTTGTTGGTGCTCTCTGAATACCATTTATGCTCATCACGACTTCAAAATTATGGTAGTTGGAGAGCCCAGTGCTAGATCTTTTTAATAGGCTAATAAAGAAGCACATACACGGGTGCCTTCCTTGGTTCACAAATTTAATTCGTTCTACGATTCTGGAAAAGATGGCCACGTTCGTGTTCGTCATCCGATGCAGAGTTCACAAACAAGTTTGCCAGTGCTTCTGTTTGTCAACCAAATGTTTTACAAACAAAAGTGTTCTTGAACCGAGGCACCATGTATCACTCTATTAGAAGTTTGGGTTTAAAGAATTGCATTTTACTATAATTGATACTTTATGCAAGAGAACCCTTCTTTTGAGAAGGACTCATCAAAGAGGTTCATATCACAAAAAAGGCAAAGGAGCCCTGGGGACTTGAAGATAGTCTTCATAGATGGGACATTTAGATTTAGTTTTGAAAGCCTGGTAGGGATTTATCAGGGGGAGGAGCTGGGTTTGCATGTGTCAAGGGAGGGCTACAGTGCACTGAAGGGATTCCTGGGAAAAGTGTGCTTTTAGTGGAGCAGGACACCAAGATGTCAGGGGTAGGTGAGGGGAGAGGGGAGGCCGGGCACAGAGAAGTGGAAAAGAGTGAGGTGTAGAAAAGCAAGTGAGACGGGCCAGGAGTGCAGCTCAGTGGCGGGGTAGAATGCAGTAGGCCCTGGGGTTTGAGTCTCAGTGTTGTGGGAGACAAAAAAAGAGAAATGAAGCCAAGGGAAGAAAATTTCAAGAAAGACAGGCTATGTTAGGATGATTTGGGCTGGGAAAACCCAATTGCTTAAATAGTAGGAAAGTGATCTCACAAAATCCAGAGGAAGGATGGACTCCAGGCTCACTGGTTAGGTGGATCAACCATGTCTTTAGGGACAGGTTTCTTGGCTTTCCATGATAATGTTGATTTCCCTTATGGTTATGAGATAACTGTCAGTAACACACACACACACACACACACACACACACACACACACACACATGCGCGTGCGCGTGCTGGAGCAAGAGAAGGAAGGAGGACAAAACCCACGATTGGATTATGCCCTCCTGCTGGAGCAGACTGGACCAGTTTAGGTCAGGTGTCTGCCCTGGTCAAATAGCAGTCGGCAGGGGACTGTAAACCCCGGCTGGTTTACGCTAAGCAGGGTCTACCTTAATCACATGGAGAGGAATGAATTCATGAATGGGATGACATGCAACCAGCAATGTCCTTTTCAAGGAGGTCAGTTAGATGAGTTTGGATAAGTCTTCATTGATTTGGGCACTTTGGAAATCTTTTATGATCCTTGTACGTTTACTGATGGAAGTGAATGTTAGATTGGCATAGATTGGTGACCTAGAGATAAGTGAATGGACGCAAAGTTTACTGTTGAGGGAGCAAATATGGTAACTGGAAGGAAATGTTGGCTGTGAATTCTAGAGCTGTTTTGTGGTTGTTACATTGTCGCAGATTTGGCAGTGCTTATGGTCTAGGGAGGAATTGTGAAGAAGGGAGGTTTTATAAAAGAGAATCCTGGCTTTCCGATGTAGCTCAGTGGTAGAGTGTTTGCCTAGCATGTGCGAGGCCCTGGGTTCAGGTCCTGGCAAAAGTAAGCAGCTTTAAAAGAGGAAGAGAGATTCTTTTCTGTGAGATTGAAGGAAGAGAAGAGTAGGAGTGATCGTAGACCAGTGATTCCTAACTGAATGGTATCTTAGGATATGTAGATGCTAGAAGGGTTCTTTTTGTCTTTGCTTTGTTGTGTTGAACATTTATGCACGGAAATAGAATTCTTATGAACCTTTCCTTTTGTCACCTTTGTGTTCCTGTGAAATCAGTATGCTGAGATCTTTGGTTGGAGGCTCTCATGTGTTGGTGGGTGAATTTTGTTTCAGGATAGCAAGAGTATTAGCAAATATTTGTAATCAAATAGTGATGTTAGGTCTAGTCATTGAGAGGTAGTGCTTATCAGGTTTAAAGTGTATGTGTGACTCTTGTTGAAGTCTAGATTCTAGCACTCTGGGTGGCTAAAACAGGAGGATTACAAGTTTGAAAACACCTTGGGCAACGTAGTGATTTAATAAGATCCTGTCTGAGAATAAAAAAGGGCTGGGGATGTAGCTCAGTGCAGAGGTTCTGGATTCCATCCCCAGTATTATGTAAAAAAAAAAAAATCCCGATTCCAATTCAGTAGGTCTGTGATGGGGCTTCAGATGACCCAATTGTCAGTAGTTTCTGGGTGCTAGAGATGTGTGCTGGCCCCTCCCACACTTTGAATAACCAAGAATTGAGGCAACTCGGTAGTGGATTGGTTCTTGTTATTTTGGAATGGGTGGTGGGGATTTGGAAGAGGCGCTGACCAGGGAACAAAGAAACCAGAGGCTCTGAACAGTGCACAGCTGGGAGCCCTGCTCCGCGGGTCTGCAGAGGGCGGCAGAGCAAATGGGGGGGCTGATCTGATTTTGGGAGTTAATAGCGTGGAGCTAAGAGGACTGGGCGGAAAGAAGCTGGCAGTAGGTGTTGCTGGAAAGTACAAAGTGTGTGACAAGTTATGTGGATACATAATTAAAAACTAACCATGTATTGATTTAGCTATTCATCTTTAGGTCAGTAGGGGGCAATAGTGGATTAAAAAACACACTGGAAAAGCTTCCCAGTATTTGCATTCTGTTGTCCGAAGCGCTTTTCCCCAAACTGTTGCAGGAAGCTTGAATATAGAACATGTTTTCAATGCCTGGTCACTAGGTGCACTTTCCCAGAGCGCATTCACTTCGCACATTTATTTTATCACTGTCCAGTTGTGGGCTGGGCACCTCGCTGGGCCCGGGTGGGTACAGATGCAATGACCCAGTTCTTGGCTAGGAGGGAGCTCGCAGATCTGGCCACCCATCGGAAGTACCCAGGGACACAAATCCTTTCCAGGGCCCTGCCCGTGGTTCTGATTTAGTTCTATGGAAGGACCCAAGAAT